TGTGTGTGTGCGTGCGTGTGTGCGTGTGTGTGTGCGTGTGTGTGTGTTTTAAACCAACATGGCGATGGTAGAAATGTTCATCTTGAGGAGTCAAAACATCAGCCAACAGTGGGTGACATCACACTATTTTTTATACCGTCTATGGGCACAGACCTTGGTGACCTCACAGCTGGTTATGTCCACGGATGGATAGATGTCATTCCATCTTGTTGAGATAGAATATGTAAATGTTGAAAACTCCCCTCCTTCTGGGTGATTTTCTCGAGCTGTGCAGGTGTAAATTTTGAGACATATCTTTTAGGACTTCTATAAAAGTAAATTCCAACACAGTTTATGGGAAATTCTTATATTTTTGGGGCATTTTTTTTTTAAATTTGTGCTGTGATAAATTGTTTTAAAGTTATAAAAGGTCTAATGTGCGAATAACTATCTAAATTCTATGATGGGCCATCTTAGATGTTAGATGGGATTGAACTTTTAAAACACTGTTTAATGGTAATCTTGTAAAAAACATGTGAAAGGGAAACCAAAATGAAACAGTTTTGGTGCCTGAAGATGAATAAGTGATGGGACTAGAAGTCTTCTCTGCAGATGTGTTTGAGTGTCTTTACACAGAATTTTTGCTCTTTTTTTCATTTATGGGCTGTTTGTGTTGTGATGTAGCTCCTGCAGAGAGTGCAAACATGCTGTTCTTGACTAGTTAGAAAATAAAATGTACAATTCAAGATAGGACTGAGCAAAAATCGTCCACTGATGCGTTTCTCTCCCACAAATTTTCAGTGGCATCACAAAACAATCTTAGAGAAGGCAAAATGCCATTTCAAGAAAACAGAAGCACGGTCGCAATGAAGTACAAAAATTTACGTTACATCTCACCTACACTGGAGGTCAAGCCATTACATTTTCACATTCATCTTGAGCCATGCAGCATGGAATCTGTAGTGCCTTATCTGAGCACAAAGCAGTGAAATGCTAAAATGCACTTCATTGTTGGATTCTATTTGATAGCATCAGGGGTACTTTTGTGCATTTACAGACATGGAAAAAAAACAAGTTATGTGATCTGTGACCTCTTTCTGTGTTGTTCAGAAAACAGTCAGAAAATGTATGTCACTGTCAGTGTGTGCTATCACAACTTGTTTTCCATCTGCAGTGATATAGTAAACCATAAATATCTTTTCTTTTTAATTAAAAAACTTTGGGCTATTATGAATTTAAAGTTAACCAACATCCGAAGTGAGAATAACTGTATTAAAAATTGTTTTAACTTTTAATGTGTAATGTTGCTCAGTGGCCATCTTGTGAGTGTTAGAGTGAACAAATGTCACTCTTACAACATCCTCTCCAACTTGTGATCCAACCAATCAAAAAAAGGTACACCACAGACCAATGCCATTCACTTCCTGTTTGGAAAATATATGTGTGCTGTATTAAGTAGTTAGGTAAGGCTGACTCTTTGGTTGTATATGTGTTGTAGATGCCGTGCAGTATAATTGCTATGATTATTACATATACAGTTTACTCTGTTTTGTGGCATTGAAGTTGTTAAAGGCGTTGTATAGAGATAAGGACCAAATTACACATGACACTCATTACCGGTAAGAAAGTGTTGTTGTTGTGCTATTTCTGTTGTGACACATATAGGTTTACACAGGAAGTGATCTTTCTTACTGGCAATTTAAGGTATCTGGCTACATTCACATCTGATTTAAGTTCTTCTCTTTGGCCGCTCTTCTTCAGTTTTATGGTGTTAAAAAGACAATCAATGGAATGCTTGGTGAGATATTTTTGTGCTAGACTGTTTATTAAGTGCTGCTTCACTGTCCAAGGCATGATAAGGAAATCTTATTTAGAAATTAACTTTTACAATTTGAGTCAGTTGTACTGAAATCTTGTTTCTAAATAATATTTTCTTTAATTTGCTATGGGAGACTTTCTCAGATATTTGGGCATCAACTGGACCTCGACTTTGATATGTTGCATCTTCCTGGAAGCAGGTATATTTAATTTACGCTTTCCATGACAATGGGTATAACCTACAGGAACAGTCTGACAATTTGTGAAATATGTTTTTTTCCCTAAAATATAAGTTGGGAAAGTAATTTTACCCAACATTTTACTTAAATATCTACAAATCTTTCCATATAATTTTGTCATAAGTGCATAATGCTGCATTTAATGGAATCTGTTCAAATGAAATATACACAGTGTTGGGAAGGTTACTTTTAAAATGTATTCCATTACAGAATACAGAATACATGCCCCAAAATGTATTCTGTAACGTATTCCGTTACGTTACTCAATGACAGTAACGTATTCTGAATACTTTGGATTACTTAATATATTATCATGCTTTTTACAACAACGTGAATGTACTATTGCTGTGTGATTTATTACTATTACTGAAGGTCCGCGACTCCGAACTGTAGTAAAGGGACCTCTGACTAATACGGCGGGGTCCCTGTCGGCTCGTAGCCGAAAAATAGCTTTACTTTGTTGTGTGGGTCAACTTTTCTTGCGAGAGACAGAGAGAGGCGTTGAAAGGCTGCTCCAACGGAACTTATTGTTTTCGGAGGAAAACACGAACACGGTGTACAGTCGAGTCTTAATAGCTTACTTACAACTGGGCTCGTCAGGCTCTCTTCTTGGCTGCAGTGGTTATTATTATATTTACATGCTTCCAGCTCCCGTTTTTCCTCGATGACAACTCGTACCTTTCCACTCCCCTTTTTCTCCCTCCTCGCTCACAGACCCATAACGTGTATGGCAGTCCATTCTCCCTGCAGCACGGACTACACTGCCCATGATGCTACATTCTTTAGAGCTATGCTTGTAGCATTCTGCCTGTTAGCTTAGCACAACAACAACAACGAAAAGGCGCTCTCTCACCCAGGAAACATGCAGAGAGAGAGCGTCACCCTGTAACCATGGCAACCGTAACGCTGCCGCCTGGAACAACAGAACGTAGCTGTCAAACAAAACCCAAACAGTCCTGACCCGCGACAATATGAAACAGGAAAGTACCACCGTGTAATCCATTTATTTCAACAAAGTAACTGTATTCTGAATACCACCTTTTTAAACGGTAACTGTAACGGAATACAGTTACTCATATTTTGTATTCTAAATACGTAACGGCGGTACATGTATTCCGTTACTCCCCAACACTGAATATACATGATTGTTATACATTCAGTTTATACAAAGCACAGTTTCCTTATTGATGAATTATTCCAAGAAGCAATCTTCAAATAAGTTTGCTTCTTCTGCATTTACTTAAAATTCTTATTTCATGTTTATTGAGAGTGACGAAACATTTTTAGTTTATCACTTCAGGGATCTGCTGGGAATTTATAGACTTAAAAGTTCACTTAGGTGTGCCTGTGACTGCTCATGTAGAGCTCTAAAAGTCAAAACCAGAATAGAAAAGTGGACTCTGAAGTTCGTCAGAAACAAGTCAGAAAATTTCACTCTGAACAACTTGAAGACATTTCAAAGAGGTTGTTTTTGAGACAATAAATGACAATAAAGAAGACAAGGTCAAATCAAAGCATGAAGACAAATTTGTAATTCAGTGTGTGAGACAATAAAACGTCCACACCCTTTACATGATATTGATTAACGCTGTGCACCTCTACCCCAGCTCCGCATGAAAAAGCAGAGGTGTAGTTAAAACAGCATCCATAGAAAAGCTGTAGCAAATTGAGATGATAGATTTGGATGTGTTGAGGAGTATCAGCTAAATCTATAGTTGATATGACCTGTCGCTGAGATCAGTTAATGTTTGGGGATCTTGGCCTCAGCTTATATATATAGCAAAATGTAAATAAAACCAGAATGCAATGACTTTTTAATTAATATGAAGTGTGTATGTTCCTTAAAGAATACATAGAATAAAATAGAGAATTTAAATCATTTGCAAATAATTGCATTCAGGTTTTGTGCATTATATATCATGCAGCATCAAAATTAAACAGGAAATAGGTTAGATTTTTTTTAGTGTAATGCAAATGTTACAAATCCATTGGATGCAGCAAAATGATGACTATGATGATTTTACTTTGTTCTTCAGTTGGGAAAGGCACATCCTTGACAGCTGGGTGCACAGTGACCCTGCACTGTACCAGTAACATAATCGGTGACCTCGTTCAACTGACATGGAGAAGGAATGGGACTCAGCTGTTTAGTTTCAGGCCACAGAAAGCCTCAAACAGCAGCTCTGTCACCTTAAGCAGGTCT